TAGCCGGCCCGAGTGGCAGAAATTGGCCGGTTTTTTTCTAGCACAGTAACCGAGAGTAACCGAGACACCGCCGCGCCTCCTTGTAAGATGCGTTATTAAAGCGCTTTTAAAAATTTATTTATTTTTTTTATTCTGCGTGGGAAGTTTTCGCCGGCAGAAATGTCCCGAGGGCAGAGATGGGAGATAAAGTGCACAGTAACTTGCGGAATTGTCTTCTGAATAAGGCAGCGTCTAAAATACAAGTTCTGTGCTTTGTTTGGAGTCTTCAGTGGTGGTTAGGTTAAAGCTTTAAAACTTTGAATTGCGAGAGGAGAATTACTTGGAAGATGTTGGGACATTGTTTTGAAAATAAAGGCTTAATACTGGGAAGAAAAATGAAGCGTTGTTAAAATTTCAAAACATTCTAGTTTGAGTATTTCACTTTTGACTGTGGTTGGGCTGATAAATATTTTCATTCTAGGAGTAAGTGGCAAAAACATTTGTTTATATGCATAATTTAACCACCAGAATGTTTTGTATGGTTTCTCTGATTGTATGTACATAAGCATTATGCATTTTATATGTTATTTTTTATATCTTATATGTTCAGAGACTATAAAGATACCGTATGCTATATCTGCATTGTATAATGCATGCAGGTAATTGTTTTATCAGGTGGCTGATGTGCCTAAAATATGATGCTGTATCATATCACGCAGAAAAATAGAAAATTAGATTTATACCACAGCCTAATATTGCAGAATTTCTGTTTCAGATGTCGTTTGAACAGTGGTATGCCTTTTACAGTGTGTATATGTTTGTTTTTAATATTGCAGATGCCTTTTGATTGCGAGACTGCTGAAATGTTTTGAGGGCTGCCTCTCCTTTCACAACCATGAACAGTTCAAAATCACCAGGTCTGGCTGGATTTGGAATCTTGAAAAACACAACCTGCCACACGGAGAAGAAGATTTCGGTTTTCTTTTCAATAATCTTCATGACGGTGGGGATTTTGTCCAACAGTCTTGCAATAGCAATTCTCATGAAAGCGTATCAGAGATTTAGACAGAAGTCAAAAGCCTCCTTTTTACTTCTTGCCAGTGGCTTGGTCGTCACAGATCTCTTTGGCCACCTCATCAATGGAGCCATTGCGGTGTTTGTGTATGCATCGGATAAAGACTGGATTCGATTTAACCAGTCCAACATTCTTTGCAGTGTTTTTGGCATCTGCATGGTTTTCTTTGGTTTGTGCCCGCTCTTTCTGAGTAGCGTGTTGGCTGATGTATTGT